CCAAATGGAGCTTTTCCCTCTTCAAACTACCTAATTTCACTACCTTCCACCTTTGAATTCCATGCCGTCACAGTAACCCATCCTATACAGTTAACCATTGTTGTTCTCTACCGTCCACCAGGCGCCTTGGGGGACTTCTTGGAGGAATTAGATAATCTCCTCTCACACATCCCTGAAACTGGCCCTCCCGCTGTACTTCTCGGAGACTTCAACCTCCAGACGGGGAAGATAGACGAACTAACATCTCTGTTAACCGCCTTTGCTTTCTTACTGTCTCCGTCCCCACCGACTCATAAAGCTGGCAATGTCCTTGATCTCATATTCTCAAGGAACTGCACTACTTCTAACCTCTCTGTAAACCCGCTCCACACATCCGATCACTTCTTCATTTCATTCTCTCTACCCCTTTCCAAACATAACAAACTAATCTCTTCTCATCCTGCACTTGTCCGCCGTAACCTTCGCTCCCTCTCCCCCTCTACCTTTGCCTCGTCGGTGCTCTCAGCCCTCCCTTCCTCTGACTCGTTCCAACTCCTGCCACCAAACTCTGCTGCAGAAACTCTCCTCTCTACTCTCTCATCCTCTCTGGACTCTCTCTGTCCTCTCACATCTCGGCAGGCTCGTCAGTCCCCTCCTGCTCCCTGGCTAAATGATGCACTGCGTGCTAATAGAACCGTCCTTAGGGCAGCAGAGCGGAAACGGTGGAAATCCAAACACCGTGACGACCTCCTAACCTATCAGGCTCTCCTCTCCTCTTTCTCTGCTTCGATCTCTCAGGAAAAAAGCACTTTCTTTCAAGATAAGATCCAATCTTCCTATTCCAATCCTAAAAAACTATTTTCCATCTTCTCCACCCTCTTGGACCCTCCAAAAGCCCCTCCCCCCTCCTCACTTCTGTCAAGCGACTTTGTTACCCACTTTGAAAAAAAGGTTGATGATATTCGCTCTTCTTTTTCTGACTCACCTTTACTCACCGCTGGGTCACCAGACCTTCCTTCCACCAACACACTAACCTCCTTTTCCCCTCTCTCTCCAAGTGAGGTTCTTACCCTCATTACCTCTGCCCGCCCTACCACCTGTCCTCTGGACCCTATCCCTTCAAACCTCCTTCAGACTATCGCTCCTGATATTCTAACCGTTTCTCACCCATTTCATCAACACTTCTCTAACTTCTGGTCACTTTCCAAACAGTCTCAAGGAGGCAAGAGTAAACCCTCTCCTAAAGAAACCCACTCTCAACCCGTCTGATGTTATAAACTACAGGCCTGTCTCTCTCCTCCCGTTCCTGTCTAAATCACTTGAACGTGCTGTCTTTAAACAACTCTCCTGTTATCTCAATCAGAACAACCTTCTGGATCCGCACCAGTCTGGTTTCAAGGCAGGTCACTCCACAGAAACTGCTCTCATTGCTGTCACGGAGGAACTGCACACTGCCAAAACTGCATCCCTCTCCTCTGTCATCATCCTGTTAGACCTGTCTGCTGCATTCAACACGGTGAATAATCAGATCCTCCTTCGCACTCTCCAAAAACTGGAGTTTCAGGCTCTGCTCTTTCCCTCCTCACCTCATACCTGAAAGACCGTACCTACAGGGTGACTTGGAGAGGGTCTGAGTCCGACCCTTGTCAATTAACTACAGGGGTCCCTCAGGGCTCTTGGTCCCCTCCTCTTCTCCCTGTACACAAACTCGCTCGGATCAGTCATTAGCCCGCATGGTTTTTCTTACCACTGCTACGCTGACGACACCCAATTAATTCTGTCCTTTCCCCGCTCAGAGACCCAGGTCGTTGCACGCATCTCTGCTTGTCTAGCTGACATCTCTCAGTGGATGTCTGCTCACCACCTCAAGCTCAACCTTGACAAGACTGAGCTGCTCTACCTCCCGGGAAAAGATTGTCCCACTCTTGACCTAACAATCAACATCGGCACCTCAGTTGTTTCCCCGACTCAGACTGCAAGGAATCTGGGTGTGACCCTAGATAACAACCTGTCCTTCACTGCAAACATCGCTGCTACAACCCGCTGCTGCAGATACACGCTTTACAACATCAGGAAGATACGTCCCCAGCTGACACAGAAAGCGACTCAGGTTCTGGTCCAGGCTCTCGTCATCTCACACCTAGACTACTGCAACTCCCTCCTGGCTGGTCTACCTGCATGTGCCATCCGACCTCTGCAGCTCATCCAGAATGCAGCGGCTCGTCTGGTCTTCAACCTTCCTAAATTTTCCCACACCACTCCGCTCCTCCGCTCCCTTCACTGGCTTCCGGTAACTGCTAGAATCCACTTCAAGACACTGGTACTTGCTTACCATGCTGCGAATGGATCTGGCCCTTCCTACATCCAGGACATGGTTAAACCGTACACCCCAGCGCGTGCACTACGCTCTGCATCAGCCAAACGACTCGCTGCGCCCTCGCTGCGAGGGGGACCCAAGTTCCCATCGGCAAAAACACGTGGGTTTGCTGTCCTGGCTCCAAGATGGTGGAATGAGCTCCCCATTGACATCAGGACAGCAGAAAGCTTACACACCTTCCGGCGCAAACTGAAAACTCATCTCTTTCGACTCCACTTCGAGCGTTAGAACTATTAACGAAGCACTTTTATACTAATAAAGGACTGGCTTACCTAAAGCCAGTTGAGTAGCACTTGAAATGTTTGGCTCTATGAAACCTGATGTACTTATATGATTCTGTTTTCTTCAAGGTTGTGTCTTCCTGGTCGAATGTACTTATTGTAAGTCGCTTTGGACAAAAGCGTCAGCTAAATGCAATGTAATGTAATAATGTAATATAGCTGATGTAATTTAATCATATTATTTCATATTTAAAATAAGTCTTAATTTTTCTGTACTATTAAAACAATATGTTTTTTTAAATGAACAAAAGCATGTTGTATAGATTGATTCTTAACACTATTAGTGTTCTAATCTTAATAGCTGTGATTATAACAGTTTATATTCTCCTTCTTCCCCTAAACCAGCCCAGATGATGTCCCACTGACACCAGGTCAGCACCTCCGGGTCCAGCAGCACCGTCACCCCCGCTCTGCTGAAATACACAATTAAACATTTTCTATGACCTATTTTTTGTATTAATAAAATTAAACTGAACTTAAGACAGTTAACTTAAGAGGATGTTCCCGATCGCCGTTTTGCTTTCTACAGCACCTCGGGGTGTCCAGGTGGATGGCAGCTCTGTCCTGATGATCCACTGTGCACTTTTCAGATTAGGGGTCCTTCTCCAGATAGATAGATAGATAGATAGATAGATAGAATCAGAGGGATGAAACCCCTATTTAATGGTCACACATGCAGAGCACACAGCACACACAGTGAAATGTGTTCTCTGCTTTTAACCCATCCTAGTACCAGGAGTCTAGTACTAGGAGCAGTGGGCATCTATTGTACAGCGCCCGGGGCGCAATGGGAGTGGGGGGAGTAGGGGGTTGTCCGGTGCCTTGCTCCAGGGCACCACGGCAGGGCAGGAGGTGAACTGAGACCTCTCCAAGGTCCACACTCCATATTTAGGTCTGTTCGGGGACTTGAACCGGCGACCCTACGGCTCACAGTCCAAGCCCCTACTGCCGGACACAGCAGATCCATTTCTCCAGAATTGTGCTAATTACAGAGAAAAACAAGAGAAAAAGAAAAAAGTGAATTAATCATATTCAACACAGGGTTGCAAAAGTATTATTGCAAAATGTAACTCTTAGCATTTCAGACAAACAATCCTTAAAGGATCATTTAAAATGATGTACTGTTTTGGTTTTTAAAAAACTAAAGAGATGAAGTGGCAGTCACACTTGCATCCCTTTGACAGCACTCCAACATTAAAAATCAAGCAAAAGGATGCTGTCTATTTTTGATTGAATTATTATTATGGGATTAGGATAAATTAAATAAACTTTAACCTAAATAAAAGATGATCAAATCACTTTTTTAGCCCTACCTCAAAGCAGCATGAGCTGAATAAAAAGGTTGTAATGTTGTCCCCAAGTTTAATAAACAGTAAAATATTGCAACATGTCAGAGAAATAAATAAAGCAAACAGCAGCTACACGTCAGGGTAGCATTTTATAAATCCCACCGTACTATAGGCTATACCGGTCTAAATGTTTCACTTTGGTCTATTTATGTAATATAAAGTATAACTTATCTATAACAGAGCCAAGATCTCTGTATGACTTTAGTAAACTTCTGAATTGAATTAAAAATAAGTGTAAACAACAGTGCAGTACGTCCAGCTAGCTAGTTAGCGTCACATATTTATCCGTATTATTTATCGAAAATGTACGTTTTAATGCCCCTTGGGTTTGACGTGTGTGATGTTAGTTCATTTAAAGTAAGTTAAAACCCAATACTCACATTTATTAGTGATTCCTCCGCTTGCTGATGCTTTTAAATCCAGTCCACGCTGGGGAGACCGGACCGCCATTTTAAAGTATTTTCTAATTCGTTATTTATCACTTACCCCTTTCAAAACTCACTCTTCCCTGCGCGCATTGCACCCTGGGATATGGTAGACCGCGAAGGATACATCAGATGTATCCTTCAAATCCGGGAAAAGAAGGCTGCATTCGTGGGCCGCATTCGGAGGAGACTCATCTTTTTTTAAATTGGGACAGCCTTCTTTCGGCGGAAGTGACGTATGCGGTCTACAAATGCAGCCTCCAAAGGGTGCAGCCCCTGATTGAGACACGGCCAACAACTGCTAAACATCTTTATGGCAAACATTAGCCACCTTTAACTTAGTGGTGGTGCTGTGCCTAACGCTAGCCTAAAACTTCTGGTAATTGCAATCACGCTTAAAAAATCATGAATTATCAAGTAATGGTTATATGTAGAGAAAATATTGCTGAACTAAACATGAGAGTATCATAAACATGTTTGCCACAGAGCTTATTTTCTGATATATTCCAAAATCCAATACAAATATTCCCATTACTTTTGGGCCACGTACAATTTTAAAGTATTTTCTAACTCGTTATTTATCACTTACCCCTGTGTGGCTGTATAGTAGAAAGCCGTCCTGATGGGTTGGTGTCTGCGTGGGGGAGGCAGCAACTGACCGGTTGTGATAAAGGCTCTCAAGGTCCAACTCTACGTCTGAATCTCCAAACTCTGAGTCAGAATCCTGGCTTGAGTACTTGTCAAGGGCTAGAGGTGACATGGAGGCACCATCTGTGCAAAATCAGAAATTATTTTAATACTTTATAGCTTGTAATAACACATTGCGAAGTAAAAATGTTGCTCCTTGTTACAACAGGAACCGGTCAACACTTGAAAAGCTGCCATTCCAGATTTGGGTCTACATACCTGGACTCTGTACTATTTAATCAAGGTGAGGAAAAGTTAGGGTTGTGAAATTCCATAAAAACAGAACATTTGACCTCTCTGTTTGTTTCACATCTCTCTTTCTCCATCCTCTCTGTGTCACTGCTTGTTGCTGTATCGCCATCCTCGGCATAAACTCTGACTCACACACTCTTGTGAAGGCTCTCAGCAGCGTGCTCACACACACATAACACAAACAAGCCTTTCTTATACCCTCCCACATAAGTGCAGGCTTTGAGTGCTACTGCTGAGGTTTTACTCTGGAAAACAGGGTCATGAATGAACTTGGTATGCCATTTGTGTGTATGTGTGTGAAAGAGGAAAATAACATAGTCATGAATAGGAAGATATTTTTAGAAGTGTGTGCCGATATGCTTTATGTATGTTCTGCATTAAACTCCCAGTTTAATAAGTAACTGATCAGTGAATCAGTAACCAAAGTAAGGCCGATAACATGAGGAGCGGAGACAGTGTGAACAACATTTGTTCATTTAATGTGATAACAAGAGAGAGACAATATCATTATGATTACTTAAGGCTGCTAATGGCTAACTCTAAATGATGTACAAAAGTATTGTGGTCTCTTTCTCAGTTTTAATACAGGTCACATTTTCATGTCATTAAAGTGGAAAAAAGAGCCCGGTAGTCGTGGGAAACAGCGTGCATGTTCTCTTTGATCTTACAACAACTTTTGTTAACTGCATAATTCTAATCTGATTACAATTATTTTTGAAAGAAACATGAGAATGAACAAATAAATCGGTAAACCGGACTTTTCCAAAGCAGATTACATGTACAGTTGGAATTAAGATTGGAATTTTCCCACAATAAAGCAGCATTTATAGATTGTTAGGGCAATAATATCTGTTAACAGAACACTGACATTGTATCATCATAATGGAGTTAATTCGGTAAACTTGATAATAAACTGATGATAACCATGGTAGAGAAACAAACCAGTTACATTTCTGTTTCCGTGAAAACCAAATAAATTAGTTCAAATAAAAGCTCCTGAAATGCTCTGTAGGGCTGAGGGGACTGATTTTTGAAAATGTTTTTTTTTAAGGACAAATAATAAAACATTTTAAGAAGAGTGTTTTAAACACATAGGCTAACAAAAACGATTCTAAGGTACATAACCCTTCCTAGCATTAGCACAAGGTGTGTAGCTAACAACAGCTTTAGCGAAACTTATCCATATAGTTTTGTTGCATAAATCTAAAAAACGTTGTAGGGCAATGTTGTAAGATTGTTTGTATCTAATGAATGTACATTTCCTGTGAACTCAGAAGTTTCTTTTTTTAAAAGACTGCATATAACTAGCCAAAATGAACAGGCCATTCTTGAAAAGTCCAAAAACTAACTTAAGTGGGGTACTGTACTTTGAGCATCATAGTTTGAAGCATAGGGCCCCTGACCAAGCTGCAGTATTGACAATGATTTAGAATGTTATGCAACCACTTTAATATTTTTGCGAGTGTTTACCTGCGTGACTTAATGCCTCTACCATCATATGAATGATCTCCTCCTTCAGAGGGCTGCTGATGTTAACAGCATAGTGGATAGCAGAACAGCCGCTGTGGTCTCGTACTCGCAGATCACTGATTAACAAGTTTAAAGGCAGATGGAACACGTTGAGTTGATACAGAACTACAGAATTGTACATATACATTTACATTTGGTACACCAACGTTAGCAATCTCAAGCTCTATTAACTACATTCAAGATAAAACGTCTTTGGACAAAGACAAAATAAATAGAGATCTGGCAGCTGACTCTTCAGAAAATGTGTGTGTAGTGAGTATCTAGCCTTTTGAATGCATGCATGAATGTGTGTTTCCTTACGGCGAGAGTCCCAGCAGTTCCTTGACCACTTCCACAGGTCGGTGTTCCCATGTCAACCGTGTAGCAAGGTCTTCAAACAGGTCAATGTTCCTGACAGCGAGCATCACCGCCGTCACACCGTCACTGTTCGGAACATTCACATCCACCCTGTCTGTCTGAGCCTAGGACATGAAGACACACACAAACATTAATATTAAATGGACATCAGCACCTCATTTGGCAAGTGCTGAAGTGAGTGTTACTCCTTTTACGCTTAGACGCACCAAAGTTCTCTCAGAGCCGTGGCTCAATGACTGTACTCGTGCTCTCAGACGCGCTTGCAGGCGTGCTGAGAGAAAATGGAAGAAGGATAAACTGCATGTCTCCCTATAAATCCTTCGTGCTTGCCTTTCTGACTACCAGACGGTAGTCAAAGCAGCCAAAACAGAGCACATTTCTCTGTTAATCTCCAAAAACAGCCATAAACCTCAAGTTATTTTTAATGTTCTGAACTCGATCATTAATCCCTGTGATGTTTCCTCAATTGTGCCATTGACTACTCTCTGATAAGTTTCTTACATTTTTCTGCTCTTAGGCTAGCCCACACTAGTGCTACCCCAGGCCTGCTCCTTCTCTGTGCCCTGCTGTCCTCAACCACTTTGAGCCTGTATCCCTCACTTCTCTCGCGGATGGTGTCAAGCACCTGCGACCGACATACTGCACCTCAGACAGCATTCCCTCTCGCCTTCTCAGAGATGTTTTCGAATCAGTTGGAGCAATCATTTTATTACTAATAAACACCTCTCTTAGCTTAGGATGCGTCCCTGCTGCCTTTAAACATGCCGTGGTGCAGCCACTACTTAAAAAGAAAAATCTCGATGCCTCCATTCTCGCACATTTTAGGCCCATCTCCCAGCGACCTTTTTTATCTAAAGCCCTGGAGCGAGTAGTCTACGCCCAGCTGCAGTCGTTCTTAACCACGCATGGCATTCATGAAAAGTTTCAGTCTGGCTTCAAACCTTAATCATCTGACCCTAGCCGCCGACTCAGGTAGCCCAGCTGTCCTGGTGCTGTTAGACCTGACAGCTGCCTTCGACACTGTGGACCATAGCATCCTGTTGTCGCGGCTTGAATAGTCCGCAGGCATCACAGGCTCTGCCCTTGCATGGTTCAGGTCCTACCTGACAGACCGTAGCTTCTCAGTGCAGCTAGGTGCTTTCTCCTCTGCTAAAGCCCCTCTTACCTGTACATACTGCCCCTAGGTTCAATTCTCACTAAACACAATATTCCAACAATGTACAGATCTATCTGCCTCTCAAAGCAAATGTCAAACACTCACTACAGCAGTTGATGGACTGCTTGATAGAGATAAAATCATGGCTGAGCAAAAATGTCCTTAATCTCAACGAGAGCAAGACAGAGGTAATCTTTTTTGGACCCCAACCTCCATTACATTGCATTTAGCTGACGCTTTTATCTAAAGCGACTTACAATAAGTGCATTCGACCAAGAAGATACAAACTTGAAGAAAAAATAATCATATAAGTACATCAGGTTTCATAGAGCCAAACCATTTCAAGTGCTACTCAACTAGCTTTAGATAAGCCAGTCCTTTATTAGTATATAAGTGCTTTGTTAGCAATTATTTGTTAGTAATTCTATTGCTCGAAGTGGAGTCGAAAGAGATGAGTTTTCAGTCTGCGCCGGAAGATGTGTAGGCTTTCTGCTGTCCTGATTTCAATAGGCGCATTCACACCGCAGTACTTTTCCCACAAAGGTTCATCAGAACTTAGTTCATGAGAACTCTTTAGTTCTCATGAACTAGTACAGATCGCGTTCACACCGGAATAAGTCCCTGGGGGAGGATTAGTCAAATGAAGCCGCTGACGTCACTTCTTCTTCTACTGCTTTGGGTTTACTGGCAGGCTGCAAACAACTTCACGGCGTATACCATAGATATATAAACACTAGATGGCTCAAGGGGGAGTCGCCAGCGTAGCTCCACGGCGGCCATCTTGCCACAGTCAACAACTACTGCTACAGCTGTTGTAAGGTGAGTGATCTGCACAAAAATGCTCTTAACTCGCTGAAATCTTGACTGATTTACAAACGGTTTGGTTTATTATAAACGTTATCATGGCTATGATACAGGAGACAACAAGACATGTTGAAAAAAAAGTTTATAAGTATGCAGTATCATAACTACATCTTTGATGTTTATAACAAACCAAACCGTTTGAAAATGGGTTGAAAATTGAGCAATCTACGGTTATTTCAATAGTGCACCATAGACATAATGTTATGAATGAGCGAGCTGCCTGTGGCAAGATGGCCGCCATGTGGCAACGTCGGTCTCCATTTGCCAGCAGCGCGGGTGAGTCATCTAGTGTTTATATATTATCTATGGCGTATACTGCCACCCGAAGTCCCCGGCCGGAAGTCCCCGAGTTGGGGACTGGCTTCACTCAGAAGAATGGGACTCCCAGCAGCTTCTACTGAAGCCTTCCGAGTAAATCGCCAGAAGGCCGACACCTCCTCATCTCCACCGCTCCCATGTTTTCTTTTGTGTTGCCATAAGTTAGTCCCTCTGCGTTTGTGCGCTGGGCTAATGCTAATAATGCTAATGCGAGGATAATAAAATGCCAGCTTCACAAAACTTTTTGGGAGTTTTACGGGGCGTGGTTTGCATTCCGCCCAGCCAATCAGACATAGGAACCTTTTTCTCCCACGAAAGTACCTGCTCTCTAGCAGGGACGGAAAAGGGGGTAAAAAAGGTTTTGATGAACTCATTTTAGTTCCGGCTCTTTTTGGTGTGAACGCGACATTTCGGAACTATATCGGAACTAAAGTGGTAAAAGTACTGCGGTGTGAACGCGGCTATTGGGGAGCTCATTCCACCATTTTGGAGTATTTCTCAAAAAATACACAGTAAAAGTACTTCAATGTATTGTTAGCAGTCAAACTAGTACAGAGTCCAACAGTGTCAGTTTTATTAAGAACTTGTGGTAAAAAATATTTGTAAAAAGAAAATGAAGAGCTGCTGACTTGAAAAAACAAACGCGAGAGACGGCTGAGTTGACCGCAGTGCAGAATCGCTGTATAGTTTAAATCTCCTAACAATGTTGTCCATTTTAGACATAGGCTTATTATATTTACAGCCCTTAATAACATTCATTTTCTGGGCTCAATGTGTGTCTTGGCCGTTTTCGTTGTGATCGCTAAATTTACCTTGTTTCCCCTTGTTTATAATATTATCACCGTTCCAAGCAAACCATGTGTCTTTGTTTTGAAATCACTTCCGTGAGTTTCGCCCCGCCCCTCGCTCCAATGACCATTAGACCATTTAGTAAGGTAAAAAATAAAAAGCAAAAACGCCTCTCAGACGCTCTTCCGTTTACTTTTTTAATAAAGAAAAACAAATGGTCCGAAGATAAACCCGTTCATCTCCCTCCATCATGTTGATTTGAATCTGAAGTTCTGAACATGAGCCCGCCCCGCTCGACCTTCTGAGCCAATCACAGCGCGATAATTACCTGCCTTCCGTTTCAACTATAGCCTACTCCTTCCGTTTCCACTATACTTTCTCTCACATATACATACATTCTTCTCTTGCATACATATATTGTCTTCAGACATTCATATATTATTCATGATATTAAATGTAAACATTGAATGTGCATGAGAGCAACATGTATAAATATAAACGTTAAAATATGTGAATATGAGAGCAAAATGTATGAATGTGTGAGTGTAAATATATATGTGTGTGAGTGAAAATGTGTGTATGTAAAAGGAGAATGTATGTGTGTGAGAGGACCAGTATGAATTACGGCCTGTACGGCCCCTCGTAAATGGGGAAACATAGTTTCATGTTATCTTTAATGCCTTGCAGACTTATTTATAGCTATACTTTACTTAAAAAGCTTTTTAAAAATAGCTTATTTCACCCCAAAAGGATCGCAACGTTTTCTGGAAGTATGAATAATTAAATAATTAAAAAAACAACTCATAAACATAAACAAAACTATTTGCCTTTCTTTTCATTTCAGTACATTTTAGTTTAAATACTAACAATAAATCTGTGTGCCATGGATGTAAATACAGTTTGTGACCACTCATAGAAACGTACAGTTGTTCACGTATAGGCGGCTATTTATATTACTCTCATTGTTTGAATGAAAGCACCTGCAGAACCTGCAGAACAAGTTAAACACTTCTTCTGAGCTTAATATAACTTAGAAACACATTTTCTTTTTAATCAACTTGAAAAAAGTTGTTGATATTATTCTAGTTCAAAAATATAGATTATATCCCCTAAAAAAACATTCTTCAGAGGCTTATACATATATTTATGACACGTGAAATAAAATACTGTGCTATGACCTTTTTTATGACTTACTACACTATGAATTGTTTATGATTCCTTCATGATATATTATACTACGCATTTTTATTGATTTTGTGGATGACAAAGGATACTTTTTTTAATTAGGTTTTATGACATACTATAGGCTACTATGTATTTTTTATAGAATATTTTAAATGACATACCATTCTATAACATTTTTCATGTATTTGTCATACTAGAGTATTATTATTGTTATGACATATACTATGACCTCTCCTACTCACTCTATGTGTGTGTCTTACCAGCAGGAGCTGTAAGGAGTGCAGGTCTCCCTGCCAGGCAGCCTGCAGCAGCTGGGCCTGGGGGGACAGATGAGGCCTCGACATCCACCCCAGCACTTTCCCCTGGAGCTCGGGGGAGCTGATGTGGAGCGCTGTCTGCTGGCTGCGGTCACACAGGGTCAGATCGCCCCCCCCCCGCAGCAGCCGCTGCACCACCTGTAAACACCAGCAGCAGGTAAAACAACACGCAACACACACCCACAATGAGTAGACCTTAACCTGTTAAGCCTGGGGGCGGGGGCTCCCGCAACATCTTGCAAGAAACAGCGTCTGAGGGCTTCTTAACATTTAACAAACTATGAATGTGTCATACCCACTTAACGGGAAGAAACTCAGCTCCCTGACGATATAAACCATTTTTACCGAAACAAAACACAAGTCTAATGCCGAGCCTCTGAATTAGCACTAAGCGAAAGAGTGCTAACACACTTAGCACATAACTCACGGTAGAAATATGTTATACTTCATCGGATCTGCACACACTAGATATTATATGAAAGCTGAGATTCCACAGATTCCAATGGTATAAGTATAATCAATGTGCGACAAAACTCGCGGCAGCGAAAGCCAGCAAAGACAACACGCAACTTCACTTTACGGAGCCAAAACGGCAAATACGTCTTACCGTTGCTGTTTTCTGATCAAAAGTTGTGTTCAAGGGCATTACGACGTATAAAAACACTGCTGAAGGTTAATCCAATGTCTCTGTGTCACTTTGAAATGTTTACTGATAATCCATCATCATATTTATGGCAAAAACTGAGTTTTCATATAGAGCAGCAGTTCCCAACCTTTTTCAACTGGGTGCACTTAAGAATCAACATTTTTTCGCGGCCCACATTCAACCATAAACAATACGGAGGCTAAATACAGTTCTGATTGGTCAATTCAGATCATGTGAAACATTGTAAATCCAGTAGTACAGACCGCTGTCAAGGACTGAATGACCGTTGCTAAGGAGGATCGAGAAAGAGAAAGGAAAAGAGGTTAAAATAAAAACAAATCTTAATAATGAAAATGTTTCCAGACACATCATAATGTTTTGCAAATTATTTGGCGGCAAATATTGAATTTACATGGACACCCTTTAATATTTTATTTGGGCTTTTAGATGAAGACCGCACACACTTAATAAATTGAACTATTCTTCTGGCTAAAATACATATTTTTAAAAGTCAATCAAGGAGTAATCTTCATTTAAGGTGTTAGAAGAGTAGTTTAAAATTACAATTTCTTTTGGAAAAAATGATTGCCACAAAAAATCATGGGGTGGCTCAACACGCCATGAAATGGGAAATAATTAGCTCTAACGAAGAGTGGAATTAAAGGAACAATAAATATGCTTGTTGTGTTTTTGGTGTGTTTTGGTTGTCATCTTATTTTTGTTTGTGACATTGTTGAAGTGATCCTACTGACTGTCTTTATTTCTTCTGTTTTTGTTTTGTTTGAGATGGGAATGTAATCTCCTATATGTTATTGGTATGTCCATGTTTGTGTCTTTAGCCTGTACAAAAAAAATAAATAAATAAAAAAAATAAATAACAATTATTTGGCGGCCCACAGGTTGGGAACCGCTGATATAGAGTGTATGAGAGCTGTAACCCAGCTTCCGGTTTTGGGCATTCTGGCTGCGCATCACTCTCATTCACCAATGGTAATGTTTAGATGGATTTTAGGAACTTCCCCTCGATTCTCTTGGCTCTAACGGTTCAAAAGAGGTGTCAATCATCAAAATAGACCGACGGGTCCCAGAGATATGGCAAATACACCCAAATGACCCCAGAGGTGTTTTTTTTCTTCTAAACCTCTCTAAAAATGTCAGATTTCACTTGTTTTGCATCAATCTTGATACAGGGTACTTATTATATGTTATAGTTTGGATTCCTAAAGCTTTTAGTCTACCATCCCATCATTCAAGGGTGGTTTTCACTATAAGGCGGTCCTGCCTGGGTCTTGCTGCCTCCCTGAAGGCTCCCACAGAATTGTAGTTGACATCTTCGTGGATTCATTTTCTTATTACAGACACATGCATTTCCTAACATTCGGTCTATATGCTGTAAAATGTATTATCTCTTCGATTTACACACGGCATCTATTGCACGTCTGTCCGTCCTGGGAGAGGGATCCCTCCTCTGTTGCTCTCCCTGAGGTTTCTCCCATTTTTCCCTTTAAACTGTGGGTTTTCTCCGGAAGTTTTTCCTTGTACGATGTGAGGGTCTAAGGACAGAGGGTGTTGTTTTTCTCATACTGATATTCTGAACAATCTGTGCTGTTGTATTTGCTGTAAAGTGTCTCTACTGTAGGCTATTTTTATTATATGTACATCACTTTGGCTCGACCAAAAAACGTTTATAAATGTGCTATATAAATAAAACTTGATTTGATTTGATTTGATAAGTAATTAGTTTTTTTTGGACGGAAACTATAATTTAAATGTTTTTACTATGTTCAATCTGAATTTACTTTAAAATAAAAACATCTATATTGATTCTGACTTTTCTACATCGAACTCACAGGTTTATCATTGCTTTGAGAAAACGATTATTAATTTACCCCTTTTAGAAGTGAAGATATAATCATTTGTCATTTTCAAGCCTGAAACCTGAAAAACAGGCTCAGTGCTTAACAGGTTAATCAGTTGGAACATTTTCCATCAATCATTAAAATTATGCACTTGATTTCTTATTCTCATGGTTATTTTCTCCATTCCATGTATTTTATTTACAAACCTTCTGTTTATATTTAAACCGATTCCTTGTAATTTGTTTGATTATTGATAATTATTACAAGGAATAAGTACAAATATTTCTTTCAAGTTATAATATAACCGGGTTTTTATTAAGCGAAATACAACAAATTGTTAATATTAGTAGATGTAGTCTACAGGCGAATAGGGTTAAAACTAACAGATATACCCAGTCAACTTTGGCAGTTTATTACTTACATTAGGAATTTTACTTTTTGTATTACAAGTTTTCAGAATGGTTGAACATTTGGTGAATTAAAGAGAAATCTACAAACTAAAATAGACGAAATGTAGTAATTAGACACTTAAATGTGCGTTTTGGATGTTTAAAACCATGGATTTGATCTTAATTGATAAAAAAAGAATAGTCTTAAATGGCTAAATTCTCAATAATTAATCTTTAATTCAGTGTGACTCATCTCATGTCACAGGGGATCACAGAGGAGAGTGTCTCCCCTGGGTTACCAGTATACAGTAAGTCATGTGCTTGTTTTGAACATGCCCCCCCTGAGAGGGAGCAGAGGAGTTACGTAAGCAAATGAACACATGTTGTTGTTATTGATAGGAAAAACACAACCTGTATGACGAACTTGTAATTTTCCATGCAACAATGGACTGACATCAGATCTGCTACACAGCTAGGTGACCGAAGGTAAAACATGATTACACAACAATATCATCTCACATACACACTTTTACATTGCTTACCTGAGTTATTCCTATACGACAGGCGGTGATAAGTGGAAATGTTGCTTGTTCTTCCTCATCTTCAGTGTCGGAGACCCCCAGTTCCTCCTCTTCCTCATGGCTCATTACTGGGACCTCTTCAATTTCCTCTTCCTGCTCTTTTCGCAGCATCTTCTTGAAGGTGTTTCTCTTCTCGCTTTCCTGCATAGTTCACAGATTATCAGTCAGATCTGTGTGAAGCACAGCCAGACAGAGGTCAGACACAACTTGACCTTTTTCTTGTTGTTATGGAAAAAGACAAATGAGAAGACAAAAGAGTCAGGAAGTAAGTAATTGCACACGCAGCACTGATTTATGGGAAGGGTTTCTTTCAGCCCAGTGTCTGTCTGTGTGTGATATTAGTGCTGTGATGCAAGTCTCTAATGATCCAAGAGTCCCAGTGGAGGGCGTGATCGGAATTATTCCCTCACTTTTATTTTGCTGCTGGTGGTGAATCGCCATACATACTCTTTTAAAGAGCATCTCATCATCATCAGTGATTTCAGGAAGGAGTCCATGTTTCTGTGTGTGTGTGTGTGTGTGTGTGTGTGTGTGTGTGTGTGTGTGTGTGTGTGTGTGTGTGTGTGTGTGTGTGTGTGTGTGTGTGTGTGTGTGTGTGTGTGTGTGTGTGTGTGTGTGTGTGTGTGTGTGTGTGTGTGTGTGTGTGTGTGTGTGTGTGTGTGTGTGTGTGTGTGTGTGAGTGAGTGAGTGTGTGGCTACTGGTTTAATGTTTGACAACACTAACAGAGCGACAGTCAAAGATGGCTGACATATTTTGTATGTAAAAACAATAAAAGCAATACACTCAGTAAAATATTCGCAGATTTTCAGGAACTTGGAAGGCATTTCATATTTTTCATCAGCTTTGATAAGACTAACAACTATGCATTGCTATATCATTTTGAAATGAACTGTTCTTTACTCACTGTGATGATGTCATTTTATGCTTTTAGCCCTTTTCTTTATATCCATTGATGAGATACTGCAGCAATATTTCTTGTCCGACCCTCCGTGGACATTTGACTCGTAAACCTTTGATCCTTTAGAACAGACCCTCTGCTCCAGTGTCTGCTCTCCCTTCTTCTCTCCCCCTGCACACCTCCTGCTCTACGTTTACACTTGGTTGCCTTGGAGATGGTCAGGCAGACAGGCGGGTTTAAAAGCCAGCTGGCTGCTTGTAGCCTGACACAATAAGACCGAGTGGAATATCAAGTTATAGCAGCTTTTTTTAGAGAATAATTTAGTAAATTGCTGTGTAAACTTGGAGGAGCATGACTTGATATTCCTTGCTCGCCTGTGCTCCAATTTGCACTTGTTAACAGTTTAGAACTTTTGAAAACTTTAAATTCTTAAGAAACAAACTACTTTTGTATACTAATTTTCAGATATGTGTGCAAACTGATTTAATGGAGCTCGATTATATGAGGAATCATGTTACCCTTTAAAATGGTTGCTTTGGTGCCCTTTTCAGGAAAAACATAAATAATGTCTCATCGAATACAAATATGAACATTATTTTTGAACTTCCACCGAGTTAAATCTTTTAACCAAATTCATTTCTGATCCTAAATAACAAATATAATTCATTTAAAAATCATTTTAACCCTCTAAATGCCACTTTGTGCCACTGTGTGATGAAATCAAATGACAGAAATGTATAACATACTTAATACTAAGGGTATTTTTTACACAGTCCGGGATACGTCACTGATTAGCAACTTGTACTTTGATGCATTGCTTTAAAAAATACAATGCCGCAGTTATAACCCAAAAAAAAAAAAGGAAAATATCATGAATTCTCCCCATGGGATAAACTTAAGAACATCACTCAACCTGGTGAAAATAGTAACAATGACAATTTTGAAACCAGGGCTCTAGACTGAAAGCATGTTATATTGTAATTTAAGGCGTTGTTATATGCTGCATTGCCGTTTCAAAAAAATTGTAATAAAAATGATCAAAACATGATTTCGTACCTTCCAGTAATATAATACTTACTTCAAGATGGTCTCTTTTTGAGGATATGGAACAGCTCCTCATAAACAGGAAGAATATCTCTACACTTGCACTTGCTGACAAATATATTGCTCTACTGACCTCTGTGGGGTGAAAGATATGAGTCTGATACATTTAGAAAAACCCCATGATGTAGAGTAATGCCACAGTGCTACCATGCTGCACAGTTCATAATCATAGGTTAAACACATTTAAGTTTGCCTTTGTAATCACCTTAGGAGTAATAATGCATATTGTTTGATATAATTGTGCACCTTTTCCTTTACAATACGATACAATGATACATTTTGTCAGTTCAACCATGATTTTTGTCTGCATCAAAGCAGCTCCATTTACAAATTTGACAGTTATATCACACTAATTAATTATCAGTTTTCGACTACCGAATGCCATTCATGTAAACTAGCTTTTTGTAACGCTCCAGGTGACCACTAGATGGCAGCGTTTCACAATTCTGTATATAATCCTGTAGCAGCGCACACATACACACACACACACACACACACACACACACACACACACACACACACACACACACACACACACACACACACACACACACACACACACACACACTGCTGTATCCACATGTATTACACTTCAACACATAGTATATTGTAATACCTTTTTTATTCTTCCAATATCACGTATGATGCATATTGACCTCTTTATGTTCAATAATAAGAAGATTCATGATATGATGTTTCCTGGATAGTATTTTTGGAATTGTGTGACGTTTATTTTTCTTATCTCAATCATAAGATTCTAGTGCCTTCAAATGGAAGTTGATGGGGTCGTTTTCACTTTAAAAGTGATTTACTGGTATTATACTTTGCTGTCACAATAATTCCAAAAGATATATTTAGTTAAGGTTATATTCCAGCATTTTTGTGTGTTTATTATGTTTATTTTGTTTATCAAGTAATTAAGTGTTTTTTATAGGGCTGTTTTGGCCGCTGTCTCAGATGAACCAATGGAAAAGTACCATTAGGAGTCCGGAGCCTCCTCCTCCCCTCCCCTCGCTTCCCCTCCCCTCGCTTCCCCTCACCGCGCTGTAATTGCCTTGTCTGGAGTCTGTCCCGTGTCCCCGCCGCTCACCAACAGCGGTGTCCTCGCAGAGAGGAGCAGTGAACCCTCACACACACACACACTCAGCCTGTCCGCTCCACCGGTCCCAGGCTGGTGCGTCCCGTTACGCACCGTTTCTGCACACTCCAAAAGCGCACTCCGGATTTCCACCAAATCCTAAAGACTCATTGTGGTTGAGATAGCCACAACTTTCGGTCAGTATGTTTCACGTGTGCATGACAGCGGGTTTGTGACAGGAAGACTCCGGGGAGTTAGGACGAGTCTTGGCTCCACACCTCCCCCGCGGGCAATTTGCGCAAGGTGATACAGCAGCTAAAGGATCCTTAACCGCGAGGCTGCATTACATGGATTTCTTCACATGATGTCATCCATTACTGAATGAGCTCCTGTCAGTTGTGCTCCTCTTCACTTCCTTCCTAAACTTCAGTCAGTGAATCTTTGTGAGAGCAGCAGGATGGGATCGCAGAGCGGGGCAGCAGCAAGGCACGCGCTCCTGTTGTTCATTGTAGGTGAGTCCAACACTCTTAATTTCTCTCAAGCAATTGACTGTTCTTTGTGTGACTTTTGTAAAGTGTCTTTGAGTATTTTGAAAACGGTAAATGAAACGTCATATTATTTTATATATATTATTACTCTCATGTGTGTGATAAAGAGAAAAAAAGCTGGTTATAGCCTAAATTATAACTTCTGGTTGGGACATATCAGACGAATTATTTTCCCTTATACAAAAAAGTGAAAACTGAAGAATTGAACTGCTCAAAACTTGAGCAGTTCAACATATGTTCAGAGCAGTAGTTAGGAACAAATCTATACATATTTTTCGTGACTATAGTCGTGTAATCTATACAACCCAATATTTGAATGGGATTTGCAAAACTGCAAATAAAGAGATTACTTTTTAGAATATATGTGATTGTTTATTTTTCAAGGTGTATCGTTTTTTTCCATAGCTGCTGTTCTTTTCAGATAGTAAAGATAGATAGACCATCTAATTTGCAAACAATGAATTTATTATTTCTCAGAAACTGAAATACCACGACACCCACGCACTAACCTTACAAGTCAACTATTTAATTATAACGTTTTTTAATAACAGGTGGGAATTGTGTGCAAACAAACCTGTTCAGTTATTGCTCTGGAATACAGTTTATGATTTAGTTCACTTTATTTGAAAAACCTGAAAATCTGGTTAAAAAATCACGTCATGCCTACCTTACCGTTTTTTTTTCTTTGAGTTCTATATTTAATGTACAAAACAAGTGACAGGAAGATACATTACAGCACCTCCTGTGTTTGCTGTTTAACATATGCTCTGCTGTTCAGCCCCATGTTCAACCATGTCTCCTAAAAATTACGTTCCCACAGAACTAAACTGCATTCTTAATTACGTTTAGCTAGAAACGTAATTAAGATACTAAGATATCTTAAGATATTAAGATTAAGTTTACTCCCACGTTACGTTCGTTATGAACGTATCTCAAATACGTTTATTTTCTACATATCTTTTAGAAACATATTTTCTCCCACGTTACGTTTCTTATGAACGTATCTTAAATACGTATCTTAAATACGTTTATTTTCTACATATCTTTGCCATTTATTGTCTTGCTTATAGTAATGATAATAGTCATTTATAAATATCATTTTAGAGCACACATTTAAAATCAGTAGGCGAGGCTGTCATTTCGCCAGCTGTTACTCTCATGAGCGAGGCAGAAAATAATAGTTTTAACATGACAAAAAGCTGCTGTGTCGTTTATTGCACCTCAAACATTAAAACAAATCCAGAGTTACGTGTTTCTGTACTTCCTCTAAGAAGAAAGGACAGTAACAGAAGAGCTCTGTGGCTTCAGGCTTGATCGCCGTTCAAATGACAGCGTTGGTTTCCCCAAAAGTGGGCGGGGCTGTAAAGTGACATAGATTTTACTATCATCTATTATTCAAAACCATTCCATTTATTCTAACGTAAATTACATGCCAGTGTTTTATCTTTTTATTTATTTGTTTTTATTTTAAATCGTATAATGTCGGACTTTTTTTGTCGTCTGTGAGGAAAATAAATGGGCTTTAGAGCCTCAAAATACTGAAATCTGTATTTTTAAAAATCTTTTCCTTCTAATTTGTTATTCTTTTCAAAATAACACACTGTTATTTACTAAATAATAACACACAATTATCCTTGTTTTTATTTATTCGTTTAATTCTATAATCTTGGGCTTTTTAGCCGTAAATAAAGTCACCAGAAACAGACGGGACATTTCGAGATTTAGGATGGCCGAAGACACTACACTACCCATAATCCCCAGCTATCGTTTGGGACTACAGTCCCGTTGACAAACCCCGTGATGTTGGAGTGGCAGTGCGCCAAGGTTACGCCGAGCGTCAAGCTCTTTGAAATGGAACGAAACCATGGCAGACTATTCAAAACTGGACTCGAACGCCCCCCCAGAACTACACATGCTGGCTATTGTGTTTCCCAACAGGTTGTCTATGGCAGTGTTTTTCAAAGTGGGGGCCGCCAGGGGGCGCCTGGGGGGTCACGCAAAGTTTGAGGGAAAGGGGAATTATTTATTTTTTAAAGTTACATTTTTTTCTTTTTTAGATATTATTAATAACTGCATATCTATCAATCTATGTGTCCTTTGTTGCCAATCTTTTAATATTTTTTATTTATTAATATATAATATATATATATATATATATATATATATATATATATTTAAAATCACACGACCGCTGTAGCTGCCGCTACTGAGAGTGAAACTGAGTATCTGCTCAGCTTTTGGAGCAAGTGGAGCAAGTGAGAGCTAGTGAATATTTCGCTCTGCAGTTGGATGAGAGCACGGATGTAGCAAATATTGTTGTTTATATATATGAATATAAATATGTTTATTGTTAATATTACTGTTGAATATTATATATAATATTATTAAGGCATAAGTCACTTTCAAAAATGCAAAAAATATATGTTAATTGTTCATATTACTGTTCAATATTATATAATATTATAAAGACAGAAATCAATTTAAAAATATGTTTACTGTTGATATTACTGTTTAATATTGTGTTAAGAATGTTTATAACAAAGACACAATGAATGTAATGAATGACAAACAAAAGATAAATACAAAAAATGTTTAGAAGAATAACTGATTATTAATACAAATAAATAATAAGAAAATGTATTTAGCTGTATGATTAATGTCATATTTTCCATCATAATGTACTCATCATTTAAAAAAACAAATTGCAACAGGGGGGTCCCCGCCAGACGATAATGCTATATGGGGGTCCTTGGTATGGAAAAGTTTGGGAACCCCTAGTCTATGGCACGTATCTACTGGGAATTGTAGTTTTAAAAGACGTTTTTCCCAAAATTTGAAGTTGACAGTATTAAACTGTGTACATCCCTGGAGGTTTAGGCGATAGGAAACACATTGGTGTGTACACATTTAAAACATGTAATTACTAAATGGGTGAAAATCGCTTGTATCCATAATGGGCAGCATTAATATATACCCACACGACAGCTCATTGTTACTTTGTAATTCTACTCCACTACAATTCAGAGGTTAACCTGGTATTTTTACTCCACTACATTTAGTTTAGTTACTTTGCAGATTCTGATTAATGATGTGAAACATAAACAACCCTTAAAGCAGACTTTAGTTACACCTGAGTAAAATTCAGGGAAGGTGATTGTCAAGTGCCAACAATCAGGAGAGATATTTGATTGTTGGTGTTTGAGAAGACTAAACATTTATCTGCAGATCTCTATAAAGTATATTCATTACTCTTTATTCTCTACTAATAGTTAATTAAAAACTGTATAATGGCTATTTTGCACATCCCTTTCAAGATTTCAAGATTTTCTAAGGTGTATTGATCAACAGCGCATTACAAGACATCTATCAATATGTGTGCATACCTCCACCATTAAACTGTCATATTCTGCATATTTATTATACTGTATCTACATACATAAGAGTATAATTAATGTGTATAATATCAGTTAAAATAAGTGCTTCAACATAGTTAACATTGCAGGAAAGACTTCTTATTAGACGTTAAGTACTTTGTCAGGCTTAATATTTGTCTGTAGATAGATACCTCCAAAGCTTTTTTCCTATTTGAAAGAAGACCTTAACCTAAAGTATTTTTTAATGTGTTAATAAAGGTTAATTCGTTTTTCTGTTTTGCACATCCTCCTATTAATTTCTTTGTACATCGTGCACTAAACTGTTTTATTGTAGAGATCACTTATAGTATCTTCTTGACTTTTTATATTCTATATTTCTATCATTGACCTTCTACTTTCCCCCTATGAAAGTATGTACTCTTAATATTGTTTTCATCAAATAACATTATTCAACAAAAATAATTCAATAACGTGCTTTAACCACTAGGCGGTGCACACAAGGTACACAGCATACTAATAATAACTTTGAATTATTAGCGTAGGACACTTATGTATGTATAACATCTGAAGATGTGTATTTTATTCATGTTTTTACATAATTTGACAGGATATTGCTATACTATTTCTCATGTTTTACTTCTAACATTAATATCTGATTTGTAAAACATCACAGACAGAAAGGTATCCATCATTTAGCTATTGAAATTGTGATTCCATAGATGTGTCTCCCATCACCCAAATCCCCTGACTATTCTCTCAACTCAGTATTTACATTCTTATATTCAAAGAAAATCAGTAATATCTTTAAAAACTACAAGTCCTTTTCTATCAGCTGTGCACCTTTATGGTGTAAATATAACCTATCTACCAATTGGATCAAATATAAAAGTCAGCCGAATTAGTGTTGATACTGCAAGGAGACGTATTTTGTGAAAATAAATTGAAGATGTTGTTTAATTGTTGATATATTTATGATCCACGTCAAGTAATCAGTTTTGGAGGCAGTTCTCCTGTTTGTCTCTCTCATCAGGGCTCTATAAATAAAGAACTACGGCAGATGTATAATATTTAATGCAGCCGAACCGTGTATTACAATGCCGTTATGTGATGACTTCCAAAGAGAAAAGCAAGAACACTCTGAATTAGGTATTATTTTATTTTTCGTTTTCGGATATCATATCTTATTAACACCATATCCCAGCGTGCATTGCGGCTAAAACATCCAATCAACGAGCTTCAAGCTGAGGATCTTGGGTAATCAGTTCGGTGGGTTTGTGGTGTGTATCGCTCGAAATGTCCCGTCTGTTTCCGGTGACTTTATTTACGGCTAAAAGGCCCAAGATTATAGAATTAAACGAATAAATAAAAACAAGGATAATTGTGTGTTATTGTTTAGTAAATAACAGTGTGTTATTTTGAAAAGAATAACAAATTAGAAGGAAAAGATTTAAAAAAAATACAGATTTCAGTATTTTGAGGCTCTAAGCCCCATTTATTTTCCTCACAGACGACAAAAAAAGTCCGACATTATACGATTTAAAATAAAAACAAATAAATAAAAAGATAAAACACTGGCATGTAATTTACGTT